TTAGAGAGTCAGCTCCTCTATAAGTTCAATTGATTCAGTTGGATCCACTCTAACTGTGACTTTAGCACTGTACATCATAATTAGAATAGGCCCATTTGAATCAACAGAACTTATTGAAGTGATGGCTCACCAAAACCCCATTGACTCAATGGGCCTGCTCTAGTGCGATTTAATACACCAAGCAACTGGATTTTGGCCACTAGCTGAATTTTAAAGGGAAGTATTTTTTATTATTTAGCACCCCAGGCCTTCCTAAGCATAGAGCAACATCAAATATACAGTAGTGCCTCGCAAGATGAATTTAATTCATTCTGCGGTTAATGTCTTGCAAAAAATTCATCTTGCGAAATGCGTTTGCCGATGGGAATGCATTGAAACCTAATTAATGTATTCCTATGGGCAAAAAAAGTCAGAACAAAGTCAAATTTGGTTTACAAAGGGTTTAAGAGCTCTTTAAAGCCATACATATTGTGCAGATGATTTCAAAAAATTCAGTCAAAAAACTTTAACTTTTTAAACATCATAGAAAAACATTTAAAAATCAGCAAAGATGAGGCAGGAGAAAAATAAACGGAAAACATTTGTCTTGCGAAGCATGGCCATAGGAACATTTGTCTTGTAAGTCATCAACCCCCTTGCCAAAACCATTTGTCTTGCGAGTTTTTTTGTCCTACGAGGCATTTGTCTTGCGAGGCACCACTATATATCAAACAGTATATACTAGTAATATAATATAGAAAATATATACAGAGCAGTTACCATGTGGGAAGTTTAAGCCTTCAAAACTGGCATTTCGTCATATAAAATGGAGAACAATATAAAAACATTTGCAAGTATTTGTTACAATAAAGCATGCTTAGCCCAAGGATACCATTGACATGAAATATAGGGTTTAACTGCTACAGAAATTTGACAGCTATTAAAAGAACAGCAACAGAAGAAAATAAATATTTAGTTTCATTGTGATGGCTAGCATAATAGAGTGCTCAAACCACAAAAGAATTTTCACCCCTCTCTCCAAAACCACAAAAACCAAGCAACCAAAAAAAGGCAAAAAAGCCCACAGTCAAAGCCCCCACCACCAAACCAAAACTACTAAAATACAGGGAGATTTTTCTTTCCCTGCTACTTGATGCCTTCTTTCCAGCAGGCATGGAGGATGACCAGGCAAGCAACAGCAAAAGTAATCCAAAGAAAACAGGAGAGGGGGGATCGTATCAAAAATCAAGAAGGAGGAGCAGGGAGAAATGGTTCCAAGACCTACATGTCAGCCGTCATCAGCCTTACACACAAAGAACTGTGTGAACAGGAGTCCAGCTGCTGTTCTTACCCCTAATCTCCTCACCCTATGATAAATATAATGATTAAAAACAATTAAATCTGATTTGGGAGAAAAACTGGGCTTCTTTGTTTCTATCACAGTGAAATTGGAGTTCCGAATTGCCACATAAGATGAAAGGACTGGTAACTGCCAGGATAACTACAAGAGCACCCTGAACACATTGATTCAGTTTGAGAACCCTTAGAACAAGATCTCTGAGGGATATTCGCCTCTCTATAGCAGTCATACAAATACAGTGGTGCCTCGCTTAAAGGGCGCCCCGTTTAACGACGAAATCGCATAGCGACAAAGATTTTCCAATCACTTTTGTGATCACATTGCGATGTTCCCTATGGGGAAAAATCGCTTTGCGACGATCGATATCCTGTTTCGCTTAACGATCATTGCAAAGCGATGATTTTTTAACAGCTGATCAGCGGTTCCAAAATGGCCGCCGAGAAAAAAATGGCCACCTGCTGTTTTCTGGGATGGATTCCTCACTTACCGGGCAGCGAAAATGGCCACCATATGGAGGATTTTCGCTTAAAGGTGAGTCTGAAGCCCATAGGAACGCATTGAAGGGGTTTCAATGCATTCCTATGAGCTTTTTAATATCGCATAGCTACAAAATCGCTTTGCAGTGATTTTTGCTGCACGGATTATCGTCGCTATGCAAGGCACCACTGTATAGACAGTAGCCCTAGGGCCAGAGAGAAGTAGGTGTGTTTGCCTTTGTTCCCAGGTAAAGGAACCCTGCCCCCCCCCACTAGAAGAGCTATATTTGAGCCTGAAGAGAAGAAGCAGGAAGCAGCAGCACCATCCTGACTGACAGACCTCCTGAACCAGGGCAAGGGTGCCTGGATCACCATCACACTAAAGAAAAGGCAGTGCCTGCTTAATCTCTTTAGGAGGCAGCAGCATCAACCTTTCTTGCTCATGTCAGAAATTTCCCAGCAGTGAGGCTGCAAGGCCTAGGCCCAAAGGATGAAAACCAAGACTGCTGAATCCACTGGCCACTGCCTTCAGTCTCCCTCTTGCAAGAGGCATAGGCAGGTGGTAGTGGAGGAGGTGGTATCCAGGTCACCTGGTGCTTTGGTGAGAACCGGGCACTGAATTGCTTGTCCTTGCTGTGCTTCTCAGTGCTATATTTCAGCTCTGAACCTTGAGGATGTACTTTGGGGATCTGTGGAGACCTCGAGACCTTTTGATGCCTCACCCCTTTGTCTGCCTGCCTCTGCCAATTGTTGTGTCTTCCTGCTGCCTCCCTAGCACCCACCAAGCTGCCTTTTAGTGAAATACGTCAGTGAAGTCAAAACATTTGGCCTTTGTTGAATGATTCAGTGCAGCAGTATGTTAAGCTGCTAACGTTAATTTGTAAATCTTGTATTTGTTTCAGAGGTCATGACTTGATGAGACATAACAATAAGTATGGTAAACCTGAAGGCTGAAGCTTAGAGAGGTCATTAATTCACCGGTTTGCTATAGTTGGAAGTGACTTGATGAGACATAACAATCACAGTATGGTAAACCTGAAGGCTGAAGCTTAGAGATGTTCTTCAGGGTTCCAGTATGGTGCAACGGGATGATGTCTGTCTGGGAATATTGCGTTTCTCTCCCTGCCAGTCTCTACCAAACTGTGCTGCCTACCTGGCTGCCCAATGATCTAATTCACCGGTTTGCTATAGTTGGAAGTGACTTGATGAGACATAACAATCACAGTATGGTAAACCTGAAGGCTGAAGCTTAGAGATGTTCTTCAGGGTTCCAGTATGGTGCAACGGGATGATGTCTGTCTGGGAATATTGCGTTTCTCTCCCTGCCAGTCTCTACCAAACTGTGCTGCCTACCTGGCTGCCCAATGATCCACTCACTGCGCTGCCTTTCAGGGCGGTACTGTAGCTCCTCCTTATCTCCCTTGACTCTTCTTTGAAGCAATTCTTCAAATATATACTTGTGATTTTCTAAAGGCTCTAGAAAGGTGCTGCCAACGGTAGAGGGACAGTGAGTGGCCAAAAGCCATAAGAATGAACAACAGCGAGTAGTCAGCTGAAGTCATCTTTCTGACTTCAGCTGGGTCAGGGACACTTTGTCGCATCCACCCAGTGTCCCTTTATTTCTCCCTTAAACATAGGTTCATCTTCTGGATGTGTTTCCTCTTTACACGCTGCCACCAGGTATTATTCACATAATACCAAATACCTGTACGTATTTCAGACGTGTGTGCTGCCAAATATAACAGGTTTATTGAACTTTCAAGTTTGAGAATCACAGGAGTAAATTATAGATGTTCTTCTATTGTTATGTAAATCACAAATGGAAAATACAGAGGTTCGGGATCATTCATTAAATATGATTCGGCTATGCATTGGTTTGAATGTATTTTTATTAACAACAACAATCTAATTTTACTATACAGTATTCCTTATAACTCTTTCCCTATTCTCTCTATCACTTGAACTGTCCAATCTATGTATTAACCTTCTCAATTCAATCTCCTAACTCTCCTCTGCTAATCCCTATCTATCTCCTTCTTCTCTCTAATCCCATAACTGTCATTCTAACCCCTCAACTGTCTCCTTGACTCTGCCCCTCCTGCCCTATCATAGGCTCCTGCCTTTCGAGCTTACATGATGGACAGACAGGAGTGACGTGATGTGATGCCATTCCACCACAAGTGAGTACTCAGCTGAAGTCAGAAAGAGATCTTAGAAATAGCCCATAACTAGAATTAGAAGCCGATTTATTTTGCAGAAAGATGATTCAGGCTGTCTTTCTATGTCTAGGAAATCAAACCTCAAAGGAATCTGAAGACCAACCAGCAAAGCAAATTAATTTGCATAACTCCAGATTTGAGTGAAACTCATGCTGAGACACCCAGATGTTCAGATCGATTAAGAATTTCCCTCTTCCAGTCATGGAGTAAAATCTGGTTTTGGACTGAGCGTACGCACTTTCAAGAAATTTTTCAAATTCTTAGTGTGCAAATCTTGAAAATCAGCTGTCTGAAATTTGGCAGGCTCATTCCCCTCATTAGACTGTATGAGATCTCCAAATGTTTCTTGTATCAGTTAAAAAAAAACACCAAAGTTGTTTTTCAGGGCAAGTCAATGGGAGGGTCCCAGTCAAAGTTGCTTTGTACCAAAGCAAATTGGATGGAGCACAACTCACTGCATCCCAAATCAGCACACACCTTGAAGTGCTACATTGGCTTCTGAACAGAATTGGGAGATCCATGCACAACCATAGTTGTGTCTTAGTTTAGCAAAACATCTGGACTCCTGAAGTGGAAATACACTTAATCATGGGAATGAATAGTAAGTCTGGTATAATGCTGAAGATGATATTTAAAGGCCTCAAATAATCAGGCTACAGTATTTAAATAATAATTATGTGCCATCAAGTCAGTTCTGACTTACAGTTACCCTTGTCATGGTTTTCCAGGTACAGAATACTTAGGGGTGGTTTACCATTCCCTTCTTGTGGGGACACCCTGGGACGCCACAGTTTGCCCATGGCCACACAGGCCGACTCTTCTCCCAGGAGGCACAGTGGAGAATCAAACTTTTGACCTCAAACCCCTCAGCCAGATATCCAACTCACTGAGCTTTCCCTATAGTGTTTAACATAATTTTTTTTAAAAAAATGAATCAATGCTCTTTTCTGTCTGCAATCATAATAGTTACACTAAATGGGAAGACTTCTTCCTCGCCACTGCTCTCTTTAATGCATCCTTCACCTCCTTGTTCCTCAGGCTGTAAATTAAGGGGTTAAGCAGTGGGATGCCAAATGCATAAAACAGAGACACAGTTCTGTGCTGGCCATCTGAATAGTTTGATCTGGGTTGCACATAGACAAACAGGCCAGTTCCATAAAACATGGCCACGGTGGTCAAGTGGGAGAAGCAAGTGGAGAAGGCTTTCCTTTGCCCTCCTACATGGATCTTGAGCACTGAAGAAAGGATGTATGCATAGGAACACAGTATTATGAGGAGAGGCCCCAAAATAACAACTCCAGCACAGATGAATGTTGATGTTTCAGCAAGAGATGTGTCTGAACACGAAAGCTTGAGGAGTGAGGGAATCTCACAGAAGAAATGGTTGATTTCATTGGACCGGCAAAAAGACAAATTGCCTATCAAAATAGTATTTATCAATGAGTTCAAGAAGCCAGCTGTGAATGCTGCACCTGCCATCTTGACACATCGGCTCTGGGACATGATGCAGGTGTACAGCAAAGGACTGCAGATGGCCACATAACGGTCGTATGCCATCAGCCCCAAAAGGAGGCACTCTGTACCTGCCAGAGCAACAAAGAAAAACATTTGGGTGATACATCCCAGGAAGGAAATGGTTTTCCTTTCTGACAGGAAATTCTCCAAAATTTTGGGGATGATGTTGGAAGAGTAACAGAAATCCAAGAAAGCCAGGTTACTGAGGAAAAAATACATTGGAGTATGAAGCTGAGGGTCTGTTCTGATCAGTACAACCAAACCAAGATTACTTGCCACCGTGGCAGCATAGATTAGCACCAGCAGCAACATGAAAACAGAAATCTTCACTTCTGGCCAAGCAGCAAATGCCAGGAAGATAAATTCAGATATTACACTGTTATTTTCTACTGGCATCTCTGTGGGAAAAAGTTCCCTCTGATTCTCATGATGAATGAACATGGCTCTTCTTGTATATTCAGAAGTCATGAGCAAAAATGTTGAAAGCTTGGTGATACGATGGAATTAATTATTCTGTGACTTTCAGCTAGTGGCTCTTCCAGTTGATTTGCAAATATTTTTCAACTGCACTTTTTCTTTCTACCTGCAGATGAAGTGTAAGACAAATCTATTGAAGAGCTTATAAGTACAGTAATCTATAGCTTACTACAAGTAACCTTTAATATAGGAAACATGACTTAAATATTGATTTTCAACCCAGTTTAAAATTTGTACTGGTTTTGTTGTCAGTAAAACTCTGATCCATGAGGTTCCAAGAATTCAAATTCGGGGCAGTACACTAAAGCTCACCGAGTGCTATTCTCTTTTCAAGAATGGAAGAGTAACAGAATTTTGAAATATTTCTGCTTTTAAAAAATTGAATACATACAGTGGTGCCCCGCTTGACAACGATAATCCGTTCAGTTACAATCGCTGGTGAGTGAAATCATCGTCAAGCGAAAGTAAAAAACCCATTGTAATGCATTAAAAACCGGTTAATGGGGGAAATACCTGCTCGTTTTGTGAAGATCCTCCATAGGGGAAGCCATTTTCGATCGCTGTCTTCCGGAAGTAGGTCCATAAAACAGCGGGAAGCCATTTTGAAAACCTGACGATCAGCTGTAAAGATCATCATGAAGCAAAAAATCAGTTCCCGAAGCAGGGACCGAATCAACATTAAGCGAAAAAATCCCATAGAAACATCGTTTTCTAATCTCATCATTTGAAATAGTCATCGTAAAGTGATTTCATCGTCTAACGGGGTCGTCGTCAAGTGGGGCACCACTGTAAATTGACAGCACATGCAGAGGTAATGATACTGAGTAGAAATGAAACGAGATTTTAGAATTAACAATTGACAGGCCGAGAGAAAACACAGGCCTCGCTTTGGAGGTCTAGGAAGAGATATTCACACCTCACCTAGAAGTATTTATGGCACACACAGAATAACAATGTAACTCTCCCTTACTGCCCTTTTACCTTTTCATGTAGCAGATGGCCCATCCTTGGAATGCTTGTAGGAGGAAGCTAGCCATAACTGTTGTAACATTTCACAGTATTGAAGGCCATACATCAGGGCCCAGGAAGAAGACACATCAACATACCAATAGATAAGGAGAAATGCATACCCTTATCCTCAGACTTTCAGGTGCATCTTGGGCACCGGTCAAGGAAACATGGGGGCACAATATACATATTTCCGTATAACCAATAGTTGGCGTCAATTACCCAATGAGGGACTGGATCCAAAGTTGGGGTACAATTGACCAATAGAATTGTAGCATTTTATTGCTCTTTTCTATATCATTGTAAAATGTATGTACTCTTTATGATCGGGATCTTCTCTGCTATTAAGGGAAGTCCCAACTGACCTTTTCTGTTACTTTGCTATTCAAAATAAAATTGGACCTTTGGTTCAGCTGTTGCGTTCTTGCCTGATTCCTTGCCAGAAAACTGAAACCCAAAATTGGCTGGTAACAGTACAGCTTAAATGCTCCAAAACCTACTGCTGTCTCAACAAATCTCCTGCAGACAGCCATCATCCTAAGGGTTGGATGCAGATGTAGGTGCCTGCAATGAGCCAGTGCAAAGTGATTTTCTCACTCTCTTTCCTACATGGAAGCTGATCTAACATCCTAAGAACAAGTGTGTGTTTAGAATCTTCTGATCCTCCCAGGCAGGGTTGATCAGCAGAGCTATGCTATTATCCAGGGATGTCAAGCCATCACAAGGGTGCATAGAGCCCAATCTTGGCTCTCTATGTCTCTTTCTAAGTTTGATTTGCCTCTGGTCTTTGCTATACAGACACTAACATAAAAAAATCCTTATCTTGGGGTGAAGTGTTGTTGTCTGCCTCGTTCTCATTTTAGATACTTGTGTCCCTGTACTAAATTAGTTCTAGTAACTGATATGCTTTAACTGCCATGATGTCATCCTATAGATTCCTAGATTTTGCAGGGGTATTATCATTTCCTCATTGTTATTTGAAATCTCTTTCCAGGATTCTGAGTCACCAAAAGTATGTATTCAATCTCAAAAAGAAAAGAAAAAAACAGATGTTTCTAATAATTTATATTCCTGATGTCCAATTATTGCCTCTTTCCTCCTGACATCATCTAAACTCCTAACTCAGTTTCCATAAACCTGTTGGAGATAAAATGGAACTAATATTTCTAGAAGGCCACAGAATCATAGACCTATAGAATTAGAGTTATAGGTCCCCAAGAGTCATTGAATCCAGCGTTGCTGTCAAAGCAAGAAATGTAGAAACAGACATACTATCAGAGCCTTGCAGCCTTTCTTCTATGGCTGCAACTACCACAACCCCCATTCAGAATTCACTGCAATGGGTTACCTGTTTTGTGTCTGCAGGCAGCTCTGCAGGAGCCAAGCATCCCCATGATTGTTATATTTACCTTGAATCTTTGGTTTACAAGTCTATGAGCTCCTGTTACACTGTGTATTGGTTTGCTTATTGGCTCATTGTACACAACAAGAGCTTGTTTCCTGCCAAACATTTGGTCCAAACAGTGATGGGATATTTTACCATACATCTCCAGTTCTATAATACCTAGAAATGTACTCTAAAAAAAAGATGACAGCAGAATGTATTTGCAAAGGCTTTCACGGCTGGGATCTAATGGTTGTTGTGGGTTTTTCGGGCTCTTTGGCCGTGTTCTGAAGGTTGTTCTTCCTGATGTTTCGCCAGTCTCTATACCTAGACACTTACTTTAATAAAAAAGATGACAGCAGAATCTTGGCCAGCTGGTAGGCTAACTGGGCAGCAAGTGGCATGTCTAAAATCCAAACACAACCAGTGAAGTACTATGGCAATGCTATCTGTTAGAGTATTGTAACACTGTAGTTCGGGGCAGTACACTAAAGCTCTCCAGAACAGAAATCTATGTACCTCACCACAGTATACGCAGATGACAGGGTTCTGAAGAATGGAGCCATGACTGTTAAGACATATTAAGCTGTTATAGCTTTGTAGAGCAAATACACAACAACCAGAAAAACAAAATGATCTAATGCTTAGTTCCCATGAAAACATACACTGCTGGAATATGAACATCCCCTCCCCCCACCCCAATTTGAAGCTCAGGCAAAGTATGGTTTCGGTGCAGTCTACACTGGCAGCTGTATTCACACAAAGCCGAGAAGAGTCTCACAATAATAGGTTGGATTTCTTCTTTGAATGGCTGATATTGTGTCAAAATCCAACTATATGACACAAGGCTCACCTAGTCTTTGGTTAGGTGAACACATCTTGTATGTAGCCAAATTTGTTGAAGCTGCTGCATCAAAGTCTTGTTTTAAACAAGAAATGAAATAATAAGGAGTAAAGTACACCAGCTCTCTCAAGCAGGACCCAAAGACATGAGTGAGAGGAAGGCAGACAGTGAAATGCTATGCAAACCTGAATGGAAGATGGAATTCAGAGCCAGGAGAAGTAACTCTGGATGGTAAGTGTGGCTTTCCACGGCTGTCATCCAGAAGGCAAGAACTAGAACCAAACAGCATTTCCAACCTCTAGTTTCAGCCTTCCAGAGTGAAGTCTGCTGCCAAGATGACGTAAGAGCTGCTGCTTGAGCAGACTTAGAATAATAGAATCAGAATAATTGAGTTGGAAGGGGCCTATAAGACTGTTGAGTCCAACCCCCTGCACAATGCAGGAATCCAAATCAAAGGATATCTGCTATGTTGTTGTTGTTTAATCGTTTAGTCATGTCCGACTCTTTGCGACCCCATGGACCAGAGCACGCCAGGCCCTCCTGTCTTCCACTGCCTCCTGTAGTTGGGTCATAGTCATGTTGGTCGCTTCGATGACATTGTCCAACCATCTTGTCCTCTGTCGTCCCCCTTCTCCTCTTCCCTTCACTCTTTCCTAACATCAGGGTCTTTTCCAGGGAGTCTTCTCTTCTCATGAAATGGCTTCAGGATCTGTCCTTCCAGTGAGCACTCAGGGTTGATTTCTTTCAAAATGGATGGGTTTGTTCTCTTTGCAGTCCAGGGGACTCTCAGGAGCCTCCCTCAGCACCACAGTACTGGTATATGATTGTCCAATTTTCTCTTGAATGCCTCCAGCGTTGGAGTGCTCACCACCTCCCAAGGTAATTGGTTCCATTGTTGTAATGCTTTAACAGAATGGAAGTTTTTCCTGATATTTAGCCTAAATCTGGCTTCCTGTAGCTTTAGCCCCTTGTTGTGGATCCTGTGCTCTGGGGTCCTCCCCCTTCTCTCTCTGAAATAATTATTGTGCTCTATGCTTGTGAGTGGTAATATTGTATCCATTTGACTGAGTTTGTGCTTTCTCCACATGTTTGTGTGTGTGTGTGTGTGTGTGTGTGTGTGTGTCTTTGTGTGCGTCCGTGTGTGTGTGTGAGAGAGAACTGCTGCTGTGTCTATGAGAGCTGCTTCTATGTGATTACACACAGAGCAGCTGCTGTTTCTGTTTTGTGTGTATTTGTGAAGTAATGAGTACACAAATGGTGCTGCTGGGTTCATTTACGTGAGCTGCTGCTACCTGCATTTCAAAGAGCTTCTACATGTTGAATTTGTTTGCAAGATGTCTCACAAAAGACAGAATATAATTTATTAGCACCTAGTGCTTTTAATATAGGACAGAAGATGCAAACACAGACTGTATAACATGGGTGAAAATGCTGTGCCTGCGGGATGTCACTATTTGTTTCCAAGGTGATGAATGTGCCCCAAAGAACAGAAACATCTGGATGCATAATTACATGTATCAGGAGAAGCAACAAACAAACAAACAACTATTTTTTAAAAAATAAATAAATTATTGGCTTTAAATTGCCCTACCATACTATTAATTTTACATCTCTCTGTACTGGCAGTGGAAAAAAGTACATGTTGCATCTCCATAAAGAAAAAAAATGCAAGGAAAACCTGCA